CAGGCCCCCATAAAACTGAGGGCCTGCCACGCAGGCTAAGCATAAACTGAAACATGCCTAAGCCACGACAAAGTATTCAAGGTAAATGTTTTTCGTCTTTGTCTTGAGTATTTTTTTACATTTGTAGCTACGAAATTGCCGTCGCCAATTTTAACGAAATTTGCGATGCATTTTTTCACTGTTTAGTGCTTGAAATATTTGCTAAAATTGACCGGGAATACTTAGAGATTTCATCGTAGAATGGCCTAGTTATCAATTATTTGCTCTTTGACTAAAATGTTTAGCTGTATTATCGTTAAACATGCCGTTTTTGAGAATTTGGTTTGCAACTACTGGTTTCAACGCCATCATCCCATTGAAAACATCACTCATTAGGTCACGTCAGCTAGTTTCCTATCCATAAATTTTTATATTATCCATGCTCAGAGTGAGCTCCAAATATATACAGGGTGTATAAAAAAAACGCAACCTCGAAATTTCCCAAGAAATCGACATTGTTTTAAAGACGAAAGATTTTAGGGGCCTGGGAATTTAAAATAGCACAACTGTAAAAATTACTGCACACGCGAGTACATAAAGTAAAATTTATGCCGATTTATTTAATGCACAACAACAGTAATATGATCTACAGTATAGTTTACCTGCATCTAAGGCCCCCTTTACACGAGCCCGGATTGATTTTCAACCCGGGTCAGCACGCCGCAGGTGGTTATTTTTTTATTCTGTTTACATGAACCCGGGTTGACGACAATTTTTGCCAACCCGGGTCAGCAATTCTCAACCCGGGCTGACTCGAGTAATATTCCGAGCAACAGACTGGAGCAGAGTGTATTTTGTACCCCTTATAGAGCTCATACGATCATATTCCTTTTAGTTTTGGCTCTTATATCTTTCAGTATACGATTATATCCCTTTTTATCAGGGATTTAACCGTATAGCAACTTAATTCTGCCTTAAAGACGTTTTCTTTCTTTCGGAATAACATCAGTTTAATTAAGGACAAGGTTTAAAACACATTTTCCCCGAAAAAAACTTCTTAAAACATGATTAAAACGCTTGTTTTCCAAATTTGGGGGACACCCTTACACTGCACCTCCCGAGGCCCTGTAATTTTCTCTATTGAAAAGTCTCTGCACGAATTTCTTTTTTCAAACATTTCTGGTGCACGAATTTTTTTTCTTTCTATTTTCCCTGCTCGATTTTTTGCTTTTGCCCCCATCACTTTTCTAATGGTCCGCCCCTAAGGACGTAAAGCCTCATTAATATCATTAACTCGACGAAAGACACGCAAAATCACTGTTTCTTATTGGCTCTCACTATATGGCCTATATGCAAAACATGGCTAAACGCAAAATAGTAAGATTCTATTGGCTGTTGCAGTGTTCCATTACCTGTCTTGTATGCTAAATATGTTGTCCTGAGTTATTCGTTTTGTAATTTGCATGGTCATGAAATATAAGTAATAAATCATTACTATAATGCAGATAGTTATTTTGTCAGATTATGCTCCCAACCCACTGTTAATCTGCCCAATATGGCATTGGGAATTGTCTTTAGTCTTTAATTACTACAAAGGACAATTTGTATAGATAGAAAACCTATACTCGAGCCACTCTTGGTTTTGGGGAGGCATGGCTCAAATTGTTTGTTTAGCACGCTTGCTACTTGCAGTCTGTACTGCAAAAGCTCACATAAAATTAACTTATGGGTATATGAACTAAGTCTAGTGTCATTAAAAATACTATATTTCCCAACAGTATATACAGTATTGTGAGTTGCGGCATTGTGAAATGGATGCGTTAAGCTACGGATACACGGGCAATACTTTTCTGGCGATGGCAATGCAATGGTGGTAAAATCGTTGCATTGCCGTCGCGAGAAAGAAATTGCTTGCGTATCATGCTCTGCGACGGCAACGCAAAGCTGCGCGCAATCGTTGCCGAAACTTCAAATCATTTGATTTTCGGCAATGCCATTGCCGAAAATTGGGAGGTGTGGTCAAGGAAGGTCAAGGTTGATGAATGACACGTTTCTTGACCAGCCAATGAAAAGCGTTATGAAGACATATATTGCAGGTGAAATATTGCAGGTGTAGCCACCTTGTGCGACGGCAACGCAATGCTGTTATCACCCATTGCGTAACCATCGCAGCAAAAATATTGCTCGTGTATCCGAAGCTTTAAACTTTTGTATATCTTAACGAAACTGCAGGAAAATTTTGTTACTAGTTATAGCTTACTCGCCGCTTTCCTTTAATTCAGATTGACTGCCTTAGCTTAAAAGGAGTGAACGAGTTACGACATTGTCATTGAGTTGCATATGAGTTCGCTTGTATATATATATTCGATCATTCAGTTTATTCTTTAGTTGACAGTTCTGTTCATATATTCATGCAAATTCTACCAAATTTGTTGATGCAACGTGTAATGCGAATTGCGAATGGAATTTTGTCCCGGCACAACAATGTTTGAACATTATAATGTAGGCTACGTCGAATTTTGACATGTCCTTTTAAATCTTGTAGTCATTTGCTTCAATGCGGAATGATCTATACTTTTAATTAAGATCAGTTCATAACAACATAATCTACACTTAGGTCGCTATTATGCACCTTATTAGCACTTATTTTCCACCCTGCTCGGTTTCCTTTGTTCTTGTCGGGGAATATATTCAATATTCCCCTCTAATCAATTTCCGTTTAATAATCCCCTCTAATATTCACCTGCAATTAATAATCCCTCTAATATTCACCTGCAATGTCTTTGCAGCACAAAAATTGAGAAAAAAACAACATCGCGAAGGCAATATGGCATTAAGAATTATTTCTTTTCTGACTCATTAACGCGACCTCGCAGTATGAAAAATAAGTACGTTATTTTGAGGCACCTCGGGGATATGTGTTTATTCACCTCGGCGCTGCGCGCCTCGGTGAATAAATCACATATCCCCTCGTTGCCTCAAAATAACCTATACATATCCTTTATGTAACCAATCAACAGGGACGCCGGAACGATGTGAAGGCAAGGGGGGCAGATTTTCGTGACAGGGCACTTTTGAATTGATATATACTAAGAGATGTTTGTAAAACATCGGGAGTTGAACTTCGCCTAATCATGTTTTTTATTTATTGGATGATAGGGGTGTGAGGGGGTTCTCCGCCAGGCGATTGCGCTATTCTTGAAACTCGATGCAGTACTGCATGCATTTCTTGCGTTTTCTGAAGCAAATTCGTAAAAGAATTGCACTAACATTTCTGACAATTCGCTATTTCGCCAAGGCAATCCTTTAAATTGAAAGGGCACCTTTGCCCCCCCTTGCTCCTCCTGGTAAAGGGCAACGGGGACGGCTGCCCCTCCTGCCCCCCCCCCAGTTCCGGCGTCCCCGGCCAATCAAATGTGAGATTTTTGGCTATGCAAATTTTATAACTGAATATAAGCTCGTTTACGTCCTTAGATGCAGGTAAAATATTAGTAATTCCCAGGTGCCTAAAACTTTTATGCTTAACGGAATTGCAAAGTGATTTCTCAGCGGGAAATTCCAAGGTTGCGTTTTTTTTTATACACCCTGTAATCTGTATATTATAATTTAGCGGGAACTCGAATTCAAAAAGTGGAGCCAATATATAGGCAATACTGAATCACAGTGGGATAATAAACATTAGTATAATTACATAGGTGATTATTGAAAATTCTCCACGCTGATTGGTTACCGTTGAGGTGATTATTACGCGATAATCACCTAAGCGATTTTCAAAATGGCGGCCGAAGCCGTTTTGTCAATTAAAAGACGAAGAAATGTGCATTTTTAATTTTTTTTTCCAAATAATCACCATGAAAGTTATAGTAAAACAATTATTCACCTCAGGCTCAGTGAGTTTTCGTGAATAAAAACCTCGACTTCGTCTTGGTTTTTATTCACCGATAATCACCTCGCCTTCGGCGAATAATTGTTAAATATTATTATATAAACATAAGTGTGATATAGAGTTTTTGGCCACTGAGAAAAATCGTATTTAAACACACGTAAAAAATACGATATTTTTACGTGTGAAAATATCATTTGTTGTAAAACGCATTGCCACGGACGTTTTATTGTTTTTCAATGAATTTTGTTTATATAATAAACAGAAAAATACATATATAGGTGTACGTGCCCGCAGCAATTGCAGCGTAGAAAGCACACAGAAGTTCACCAGTAATATTTCAGATCTGAGTTCTTCCTTTAGACGTGGCTCAGTCTAAATCTATGACCATGTGCCCAAACAATGCCGAGGCATTGATTGCATGGACATATGGGATTTGGCAACCAAGTCTAAACTTAAACAACGAGGTTTTAAAATTGTTTCTCGCACATCCTCTGACACATCATTAAATATTCATAGCATTGAGGCCATGCACAAACAACATGCAATTTACGCTTGAGTTCTTTTGTAAAATAAAATGTGTAATGCAGGATGAAAGGAATCTTCTCATAAAATACCAAGCTTGAGGAAAACACTAGACTGTTGAGCTTGTAATTTTGGGGTGGAGCCGTTATTTTTTCGAGTCTGGTTAAAACAATGAAATCGAATATATATGGAATAGATTTAATAAACATATAAAATAATAGCCTCATTTAATAGCCTTATTTCCAATTGATCTGAATTCCTCAGAACCAACATACTCACAATTAACAGAGTCAGAGAAAAGGACAATAATTATATTTGGTCAAAATTGGAATTTAGAGTACAGATTTGCGAGTTATAACGGGCTTCCACACATCCAGAGGAAGAAAGAGCATTGGGCATTTCCTAATTTACATTAATTGAATTAATCTTCAACCTACGCACGCAAGTCTAACTTTCTTGAGAAGCCCAATATTAATATAAATAGTTAGTATCATGCGAACAATAATGTTTACTTGAACACACTAGCATATCGTTGGACCCATGCAGCTACGCTTGTTGGCTGTTTTTCTGTAATAGCTGCGAAATCATTATCATTTCCTTCTTCGTATTTACCCGCATTGGCTTCTTTCCAATACTCAATCAAACCATCGACACTCTGCTCAGGAACACCTTTCTGCATCCACACTACCTTTGCTTCTTCGTACGATTGTTGTATGTATTTCACGTCTTTGCCAAGAGCTTCGCTGAACGCTTTCACTAAATCTTTGAACGAGTGTCTGTCGCTCACCAGGAGGTATTTCTTGCCTGCGTGTTTTTCAGGAGAAGACAGAACGACTGCTGCTGCTAAGCCGAGATCATCCATGCAGATGGCGGAAAAACGTTTGGTCGGATCTACAGAATCATAAACCACTGATAATTTCTGTATAGTTTCTTTAAAGGCAAAATAATTATCCATGAACCAGGGTAGACGAAGAATTGTGTAATTTAGACCAAGATTTGTTATGATCTCCTCGATATCGTACATCTGTTTACCAATTGAAATGTTTGGTGTAGGAGAGCCCAAGCAAAGGATATGTTTTACCCCCGCCTCCTTTGCAGCCTCAGCCGTCACACGGGTTAACTCTACACGATCAACAGCGCCTGGCACGACAATAAACAGTACGTCGACATCTTTGAAGATCTCAATAAGCTCATCTCGTTTGCCCATCTCCGCTCGCACGACTGTGACGCCCTGAAGGGATGTAAATTCGGCAACTTTCTCAGGGTTTCGCACGCCAGCTCTGATATCAAGCTTCTCTCCGTAGTTTCTTGCAAGTGCATTTATTGTAGCTTTGCCAACATTACCACTAGCCCCAATCACAAATACTCTACTCTTCGACATCTTAAGTCTTAACAAGATAGATGACCACTGTTAATGCACATCAGTTATCAACTGTATTTGTTACGTTGGCTTTATAGTTGAAGGGCGGGTGCTTCGTCGTTCCCCAGGCCTCGTTTTCATTGGTTAAAAAGCGAATGAAATGATGGACATTATGTTAACACGGTTACACTATTATATTAGTCAGCATGATGCAAGGATTAGTCAGCGAAACGCACTGATGCAATATCGCATGACGTAAAGATACCAGCACTGCGTGTCAGCATGACGTAAATACATGAGTTGTGGTTCCGGTTACATCCTCCTCGACGCGCTAAAACGTTTTGCGTTTTAAAACGTTTTGCGTTTTAAAACGTTTTGCGAAGCGTTTGTGGTTGAATGTTACCTTAAATTGAAGCTTACATTACGTATCATACCTAACATATATATGTTTGGAAATTGATAATTTTGTAATTAAAAGTGATATTTTTAGGCGATTTTTCATTTGTAAGAATATTCTTAAAAAATTATCGTGTTAGGGACAGGTCATAAAGTAACTGCTAGTATAGGGTGGGCTGGAGGTAAATCACAAATTTTGCCAAAAAGTTCGGTGACCCATCTTAGGATGTAGATAAAAATTTCAAAGCCCATCTAATCATACAAAAAATTGTTCATGACCCACCCAATCTAAATTGGGATAATACACTTTTATAATAAACTTGCAGGTATGAACATTGATTGTAAATATACATGGCACTGTATTGACATACATAATTCCACCAAGCTTGACCAACACATTCATCACCAATTACGATACTGAGCTGCTCTCCAGTTGGTTGTATTTG